ATAAACTTAATTTACAATTAAAAAATACATATTTATTTTGTCCGAAATCTTTAGGGACGGTTATGTGATTATGCTGGTTAAATGACACCTTAAAAATGTCCCATGGACTTGTAGTCTATTCATATTACTTTTTAAACTTTTACTAATGAGATACTTAATGCTACTCAGAAAAAATAATTTAGCCATTATCAATTAATCTCGATAAAAATCTAAACAAACAAACCTAACAAAATCAATATTTACCTGATCCAAAAAGTAAATGATTACGCGTTTTGTATTTAAAATAATAATAATAAATCAAACTAAATGGTACATTTATTGCATACATAATGGAACAAAAACTAAAAATGAATTACCGAACACGAAGTGACGGATGAATAAGCAAAGTTCGATTCTAACTCACAGATAACACTTTATCAAATTTATCGGCATATATGTGCAGACTGTCGGATATGTAAATGCATTCCAAACATATTGCAATAATCTGATGGATTGTCATTTTTGCGCTCATAAGAGGACCTTAACAATCATATGGATGGGATTTGTTTATTCACGTGTAATTTAAAACAAGAAAATTTAAACCGCCTAACGAAGATATATTGTAAAATATTATATTTTTAGTGTCAATAAAAATAAATAAAAACAACTTTGTTAATTTTGGTAAACATAAATAATTCAATAATAAAATAATATCTAATTATTTAATCAATTTTTAAAATCATTTCAGGAATTATTAAAAAAATTAAAAGTTTAAAGTAAAAACGAATTTAAATTGAAGGGTTTATTTTTCAGTTAGAGGGAAAGGGAGAGAGAGAGAGAGAGAGAGAGACAAAAGAGAGAGATAGTAGAGAGAGAGAGAGAGAGAGAGAATGGAATGCGAACGCAAGAAGCGGTACACTATAACTGAAGCCAATTATTGTTGGCTTCTATTGTAGGCGACCGGCGAAAATCTTAAAGTGCTTTAGTTTTCGATAAATCCGAAAAATTTAATACCATAATCTCCTTCACAAAATCTTGCACTGTTCTAATATTTTTTTTTTTTTTTTTTTGATTGGAATGGAGGAAGTTTATTACACAGTTTGGTACCAAATTGTCCAGTTACAGAGCATAGTATAGCTATAGGTTATGGTCATATTTTTGTGGTTCGCCGCTCGACTAATAATATTTTCTCTCTTCTGGAACCTCGTCATGGACGAGCCGAGCACCAGACTAGGAAACGACAGGCGTCATGTCCTCGGATAGGCGAATGACCTGAACATATTACCGCGCGGTAAAATAAATGGCACAACCAGAGATATAATACAATAAGCTCTAACTGTATGGCTCTCAGACGATATCATCTGCAGATTCAGCTTCTCTCCATTTATGTTAATACCATGCTCGTTTAGATCTGCCTTCTTACAGGTATGTTATAAAAGTGTCGTAATTACCTTTAAAGAGACGATGTTTTCTTTCGGTACTGCTCTCTGTATACAGAATTTATTTGTTACTTGTTCAGATAGTCTTACGGTAGCTCTGAAATTTTGTATGTAAACCAAATGAGAAAACCAGTGAGTCGTGGGACAATACCCAAGAGATAAATGTGGCATCGGAAAGACAAAAAGTGCATAATTGACTACGAGCTCTGTGTTCAAGAGCCACGACCTCATCCTAGAAATAAAAATAAGACTCCTTAAATATTACGTATACTAAGAGCTTCTGCAAGGAGTAGAAACGTGGACAATAAAGAAAAAACTCTATCAAAACTTCAGGCTTTTGAGCTATGGCTTTACAAAAGGAGTCTGAAGGTACCGTGGACAGACAAAGTCACCAGTAAATATACCGGAGGATGAACACAATCGCGGATTTGGTTAATATGATAGAGAGTCATATGCTGCAGTACTTGTAAATATATAATAACACATTAAGGCAAACATGAGCTACTCCAATGCATTTTGCAAGGTAGTATCGAAGGTAAAAGGGCCCTAGGACGAAAAAGATTATCCTGGCTTGCTAACCTAAGAGCATGATATAGAAAAACCTTAACACAGCTACTCCATCATCATCAACGTTCGGAACGGACAGGCACCCTAAGATGAAGAATAATCGATGGCATATGTGGCATCCTATCAATTCTTTTAATAATTTCTAATGGTTTATGGTATCGAATATTTCTCGTAAGTCCACCAATATCAGTTTCATTGGTTTGTTTTATTCTGCAGCTGAAGCCTTCGCTATCAGGTTCTATCTCTAATACGTGATCGTTAGTGCTGTATCCGACCTAAATCCAGGTTGTTCTATAGGCTGATAGAAGTCTAACATAGCATTCAGAGTTTGATCGCCTCGATCACTACTCCCTCATCGCCAGAGGATTATTTATTTTTCATTTCTAAAAGAGCTGTTTAGATTTCGTGATAAAAAGACTCGACAAATTCTACATTTTTTTGTTGCCTATTGTTCGTATTTCGCCTTAAGACTGTTAAATTTTGATTTTCTTAAAATATTTTAGTTATTTCTCTGGTAAAATTTTCTTCTAGGTATTTTCAGATTGACCGGTGAATATATTTATTTAATTTATTTATTATTGCGCAGTAAAAAAATATAATAAAATGTGTATATAAGATGAAAGACAACTGTATATATGTCTTTCTGACTGTTAGTCTTCTTCAGTAAGGTGCAGCCAAGTTAGAAAACGAGAATTTTAACTTGAGAAAGGATCACTACAAGAGTCATGTGAACAATTTGTGGTAATAATGTTGGAAGACTCTGAGGTTTTCAGAGCAACAACTAAAATATATATATAATATATATATATATATATATATATATATGCTATATATATATATATATTTATATATATATATTATATATATATATATATATATATATATATATATATATTTATATATATATATATATATATATATATATATATATATATACAAACAACACAGTTTATTAGGGTTGCAGTCAGAATAATGGCCGGGATGTTAAAAAACACTCTTTGACTTTTTGTCGTGCTTTCGGAATGGTTTTATTCCTTTTCAAGACACTGTAAAAGACAATTATGTAAATATTTAAAAAGATTTAAATTTAAATATTTAGATTTATTTAAATGTTTAGATGTTGTGTCACTGTTTACAAACTTACCACTAGGTGCTATTCTTAACATCATTAAAAATAACTGGAACAACATCTCTCTACCTACTAATATCAGTTTAGATGATTTCATAAGAATGTTAACATTTATATTTGATTCTAACATCTTTTTATTCAATGGTATTTTTTTTTAACAAATTGTTGGCACTCCAATGGGCAGTAAAATATCCCCCATACTATGCAATTTTGTTTTTGATGAACTTATAACAACGTGTAAAGAAAACATACCTTTTCACATACTATTTATTAAACGTTATGTAGATGATTTGATTCTATCGGTCCCTGAAAACAAGGTAACTGATGTTTTAAACACTTTTAACGCCCAATGTGAACACCTAAAGTTTACGGTTAAGAGAGAGGCTGATAATATGATTCCTTTTTTAGACATGCTAATCCATCGTGGCAATGATGGCATGCTAAGGACGGAGTGGTATCGTAAACCTTGTTTCAGTAACCGTTTCATAAACTTTTATTCTCAACATCCATCTAAAATGAAAACAAATTTGATTTTGGCTTTAAAAACTAGCGTTATCAATTTGTCGCACATAGAATTCAGAGACAAGAGACTAAAAAAGTTGACATCCATACTACAAGAGAATTCTTATCCCATAAGGCTGTTAAATAAACTCATTTTCGGTTCTCCTTTTCTTCACAAGTTTCTGTCAACCAAAATTTTCATAACAATGAGATCCGACAATTGACATTGACACATAACGCATCAATATTACCATCTAAAATAACTTATGGTTGCCTACCCTACATTCCATTTTTGACACCTAAGCTAATGAACATCTTTAAAAATGTTAGTGGCTTAAAAATTACAACCAAAAATGTGAAAACAGTATCGAAGCTTTACACAAAAACAAAAGATCCTTTCACAATACAGGAGTCATCGAATGTTGTTTATTCTATACCGTGTACTAACTGTAATAAAATTTACATAGGAGAATCATCTCGTAATTTTCACAGCAGGGTGATATCACATCGTAGTGATATAAAAACCAAAAAAATCAATGCATGTGCATTGACAGAACATGCACTAACTCTAAAACATGAATTCAATTTCGATGATTCCTGTATTTTGGCAAAAGAAAAGAACCATTCAAAACGTGTTTTTTTGGAAATGTGTTTCATAAAATCTAGCACATCTTGCATCAACAAAAAGTCCGACATAGACAAATTAAGTAACATTTATTGTTATTTACTAGAAAAACACCAAAAATAAAATAAATATTTACCTGTACAAAAATTACACCTCTATGTATAATATGTTGCATACCATTAAGACAGGTTTAAAAAGTATAGTCACCCAAGAAGGGCCTCTAGTATTTCTTGTAAAGAAAGATAACATCAATTACACCTAATTACATATTAATTACAGTGTTTTTACTTTCCATTCTCTGTATGAGTTAATATACACCAGTAAAACATGCCATCAACCAAGTTTTACTATTTTTACAATAAATTTTAAAAATTTTATGATGTATTATGTCCATAATTGTATATTTTAATGTGTGGTATAAATGTTGAGTGTCAATGCTTACAAAAATAATCTCAACGACTAGTAAGTTACACTGAAGAATTGTGATATTTTTTAAATATTTACATAATTGTCTTTTACAGTGTCTTGAAAAAGGAATAAAACCATTCCGAAAGCTCGACAAAAAGTCAAAAGAGTGTTTTTTTTTTAACATCCCGGCCAATATTCTGACTGCAACCTAATAAACTGTGTTGTTTGTTTATATCGACAGTCACTAATATCCAGTATTTCTTATATATATATATATATATATATAATATATATATATATATATATATATATATATATATATTATCGATTATTTATAATAGAAAAAAATTACCTGCACAAGCTTCTGTACCCAGCATAAACTTGGTGGGGTACAACGTATGAGTTTCATCCAACAAATGAGTGTTATTGTCGTTATCCAAATACCAATGTAGGCCAATACCATCTATGAGATCAAATGTTTGTTGGTCAAACATAATCTAAAAATATAATTCTCATTTTTAAACTTTTAAAATAAATTTGTGATATTTCAAAAAGCTTTTGTGAAAAAGTAAGTAAACAATGAAATAAAAAGACGTATCGAAATTGCCAGGGCCACCTTCATAAAGATGAAGAAATTTTTCTGCAACAGAGATGTAGGTATCCCTCTACGATTAAGAATGCTAAGGGGCTACGTATTTAACTACGCTATTATACGGTGTAGAGGCCTGGACTCTCAAACAGATGAATATAAAAAAATATTAGAAGTTTCGAGATGTGGTGCTACCGTCGAATGCTGAAGATAAGTTGGGTTGAAAGAGTCACAAACTTTGAAGTAATACGCAGGATAGGAAAAGATCCAGAAATTTTGTCAACAATCAAATGAATAAAACTCGAATATTTCGGTCACCTGATGAGAGGACATAAATTCGCTTTACTTTAAAATATAAAGCAAGGAAAAATAGAAGGAAAACAAAATTCAGGCCGTAAAAGAATGTTTGCGTAATATGAGAGAGTGGTTTGGCTGTACCACTAATAAACTCTAGGTCAGCTGTAAACAAGGTTAGGATAGCCTTGATGATTTCTAATCTCCGATAGAAGTGGCACAAGAAGAAGAAGAAGCTAATGTATTAATAATTTTCTCACTCTGCAGACAATCTACAAGCATAATCATCTGACTTACCCATGCTGAAAGACCCTGATACAAAGCAAACAAAGTTAAACGAGCAAGTGACTGCAATTAGAGACGAATTGAACGAAAAACAAACGATCAAACAAATTAAAGAAATAGTGCAAAATGTAAAGGATAAACACTTAAAGGCAGATATATTAATGAAGAAAAAATCATGGATTAAAAATTAGATCCTGAAACTAATGGACGCGAGAAAAGAAGCCAAAAATAACCCAGAAAAATATATATAACCATAAATATATTAATAAGAACGAAAATCAGAGAAACGAAAGAAAAAGAAGCAAGAGAAAGATGCGAAGAAATTAAGACTCGAGACTAGAAAAACTATTTGAAGATCAAAGAGATAACACCTTTGAGCTAGAAGAAGAGGTAAATGATGGACCAAGAATATTACAGCAGGTAAACAAATACAAGCAAAACTAATCAAATAATGGACAACATATTAATAGAAATAATCGCAAAGATATTCAACAACATATACAACTCTGGAGAAATACCAACAGAATGGCTGAAATCTGAGTTTATTGCACTTCCAAAAAACCAGGAGCAAAAAATGTGAAGATTACAGTACTTACTATAAGCCTAATGAGTCATCTCCTAAAATTGTTCCTAAAGATAATTCATAAGAGAACCTACAAGCTCTGTGAAAGTCAAATTTCCCCAAACCAGTTCGGGTTCACAAATGCTGTTGGTACTAGAGAAGTAGAGAGGCTTAGTTCTTAGTACAAGTCTTATTTCGGATATGCAGAGACGTCAACTGCGACGTATACTGCCCTGCTTAGTAAAAACGTCCGATCTACAATTTTAGTTTTTTTTTAATAAAGTTATATTCCACTACTATTAGACATTTACCATCTTATTACTTAGTCAAAAAGTCCTTTCTGTCACCTCAAATCGTACAAAATCATAAATTTGTTTGTCCTTTCTACAACTATTAGCTGTTGTGCTTAGAATAAACATCCTATATGCCAATTACTTAGTTAAAGCGTTCTGTCTGCATAAAATTGTGAAGATAGGACTTTTTAGTTAAGTAAGTCGTGTTAAAATCATTGAACTGGTGAAATTAATGTTGATCTAGCGCATATACGAAATATATGACTAGGGGAATTACAACTGTAAGTTATGTGAATACCCGATCGTTTCTCATATAGATATTTGAATAATAATTGGATGTGATAATTTTTGTTGATTTCATTTGTATTTTGTGAGGCTTGCAAGCAGGCTTATTTGGTAATACTAGCAAAATAAATAACCACTGCACTCTTTAATTCGCTGTGGTAAGTAAAAATACATATAAATAATAACCTAGTAGTTAGTAAATGTTTGTTTTTCTTTATGAAAATGGACAGAGGAAAAAAAATTAGTTGCATGAGCATTGCATAATAAACAGTTTCGAGAAGAAATGCGTATTATTGAGGGCAAGAAAAAGAAAAAACGACAATTTGCTAATGCAGAAGTTGAATTTAATGCAACAGAATCTTCTACAGGTTCAGAAACAACACTCAACCCAGGTGAGGACAAAATTTTATCAAATAACAAATACTTTTCCAATAATATTGCTGCTTACCGATGGTGAAATTTTATCTAAAATTTTATAATTTTTTTTTGTCAAACAACTTCTCACCATATCTTTTATTGGTGTCAGTTTATTTATGTCTCTGTTCAAATTTTAAATAGGTTTTTCTATCAAAGAAAAAGATATTTTTTACCACCAGTAACTAAATACTAATACACATTTGTAAAGGTAGCAAAAATACTAATAATACAAGGATTGAAAAACAAACTAAATATGTCAAGTGAAATATGACTACGTATTTGTGATAAAAGTTTTACCTTGTTAGCCGATATAATAATATTGGGTACAAACATTTTCTGTTGAAAATTACTTGTACTGTTTGTACCAATAAAAGTTTTATAAATAAAAAAAAAAATTGTTTAAAATCCTTTATAAAAGGTATATAAAAATGCCTCAAACGGGCTATCACAAACACATTGCAAAACATTTTCGGATTAAACAATCCATCATCAGTGCAAACCTGAAAGTATATAACCACTTTAATTAAAAAGAACGTTAAATGAAAATGTTGACAAAGGTTAGAGCAAAATGTGGTTAATACTTACGGTTGTACATGCTAGTAGCCACCAAAATATATGGGTAAAAACCCTTTAAATGTTATAAATTTGAAGTTGTTTTACATTATTAGTATTTCTAATTTGTGATGGTTAAGTTACCGTTGGATAGGTAACATGGCGGCGTATGACTCTACATGAGTAAAATGGTCCTGAGACGAAGTGTCTACGAGGACCTGTTGATAACAACTGATCAAAATGACATTGTTGACAAGTTAGGACGGATGTTGTGTCAGAGCAGTCAGTGTAACTTACGGTAGTTGTCTAAAGTTGACAGATGTCAGCCTTATTTAAAATTGAAAAAGTTGAAATTATAGGTCTAATAATTCAGGGGTATAGTATCAAAAATGGCTATGTCCATAATTTTTAGAAATTGACATTTTGATGGCAACATTTTCATTTTGAGACAGCCTATTACCTAAAGAAATAGTTTGGGATTAAATTTAGCTTAGTCCAGAGAAATTTTGATTAAAAAAAATTGGTTAGAAACAAACTTGGTTACGTCCACATAAACTCAGCATCAAACATAGCTACGCGCACGCCAGCCAATAGGAGCTCTTCATTCGAACCAAATCTGTAATGGCCGCTAATATAATTTATGTGTTGTTACGGTGTCAGTTTTTCGCATTTTAAATAAGAATTCCTGTGATTTCAAGTGAAATCTATAGTTTTTTGTCAAGATGGATGTTTTTCCTATGCCCGTTAATCAAAACCAGGCACGAAAACGGATTGCACAGCCACAAAACTGGAAGGCTAACAAGGCGAAAAAAGAGAGGTAAGTTCGTTCTTTTGCCAGGCCCGTACCGCAGGTCAGATTTAGGTATAGTCGAACCCCTATATTGAAATAGCCGTCGTGCCAAGCAAAAGTATTCCTATAATCGGGATTTTCTAACAACCGACCATTGGTGGCTAGTAGAATCGTTTCGGGACCTTAAATTTCTGTTCCTTAAACCAGGATATTCCTAAATAACCAGTAATCTTCTTCTAATAAGCGGGTTCGACTGTATAATCTAGTGATGGGTATAATTTCTAAAGCCACGTATCCATTTCGCGAGGCTACCACGCGCGTCATGTTCGTTGTCGTTACCGCCGAAAGTGGACATCACACTGTTACGCGAGGCAAAGCCATAAAGCGTTTGCAAAACTGTTATAATTATTGAACGTGAGCTAGGCCGCGCGCGGCAGCCACGTGAAATGGATACGTGGCTTTAGAATGGAGAATTTTTCGAGTAATACCGAGAACCCTATTCGCTTTTAATGCTGATTAAAAATAAATACTGTTTTATATTCATCAATGATTCCTGATTTGTTCCTGAAGTATCGAGAACCAAGAAACTTATTCGCTTTTAAAGTTGATTAAAAAATAAATACTGTTTTAAATTCATCAATAATTCCTGATTTGTTTAATGTTTACATTCGTTAATGGCTCTCACACTCACTGAAATGTGTTTACAGAAATGTGATATTTTCTGAATTTGATAATCTTGAGAATAAGCACATTTTCTTTGTTGAATGAGGAATCCTATTAAAAAAATTAGTATCAGTTGTGCAGTTGTATTGCGTTTTTTTTTTGTATCCCAAAAAATATTCATTACGTTAGTTTATTATATTCTTTGACCTCGAAAAAGATTTGTTTATAAAACTAACTTATCCGCTTATTATTGTTCTAAAGCTATTTCTATATATCCGCTTATATTGGTAATAATCGGCAAACGCATTTAAAAATAGCTGCTGACATCAGAGTACCAGGACACCGAGACCGAATACCTTAATAATATTATAGCGACGGCTTCCCCAGTCAGTATTCTAATACTTTGTTTGATTTAAGTGTTCGAGATATCTTGAGAACTTTCAGGAATCGAATACTCGTCGATTCTTGGTATTTGAGAACCCCATCACTAGAATAATATATGACTAATATCGTTGGATGTTTGGATAAGCTCTTTTAGTTTGCGACTAATGCTACCATGGGGCTAAAAACAATTTTGTATCTTTTATACTTTTTGTTTTAGGTATTCCGCAAAGAGTTTGCCAACAGTACCACGTTGTGAACATAAAACCAAAGTCTTTGAGTGCATTAAAGTGACGGGTAAAATATTACGACAATTTCATACGGCATTTTATAAGAATCCTGTCAAATCGGATCAAGATGCAATCATATTGAAATGCTGTCAAGCA